TGTGCTGAAATAAAAATATTAAATACAATAAAAATGAAAAATACCAAAAGGTGGCTTTATCAGCAGGTCCCTCAATGGAAATTTTCAGATATGTGATTTAGGCAGAAGGACATTTGTTACTGATAGAAAGCTCAACATTTCTTAGATTTTAACAAGAAAACAGGTTTCTTGTCCTTTTTTCTACTTCATGCTGGCTGAGGAATGGGCATCAGGAAGCAGTGACAGTGGAAAGGGGAGGTAAAGCTGTATGCTGAGGGTGGCAGTGCCCCTGCCCACCTGAGTGACATCATCCCACCCCAAAGCCACCTCCCTACATCTGGACTGTTAAGCCAGAGACAGAGAAACCTGATCACATTTAGCCCATTGTGTTTCAAGGTTTCTTTGTAGCAGCCAATTCTGTTTTCCTCTGATTCATCTTGTATGCCCTGTCAGCTTTGGGAGACCATTTGTTTTTCACCACTTTGTATTGAGATTATATACCTATAGAATATCAACATCATAAAGGATTATTTTATACATCCAACTACTTGGAAGGGGTTTAGGCCTTATTCCCTGACTCACATCTAACAGAAACTCAAGGTCACTAGGTGTCGGCAATCATATGAGGGCTAAAGAAAATTATAGCATTGCTTAAATTCTACTCCTCCTAGGTACAGTCTGTTTTCTTCTATTGCATTCCATGATACATTTTAAGTTCAAGGATGCATGTGTTGGACCTTCAAATAACACATTAAGTGTCTTATACCCCATAATATGAGGGCTCCTGTCTCTTTGATTTATATATGAATTTTGCCCTGCAATGTTAATATCTAAATGAAATGACACTTCAGAATTTTAATTGCACTTCCCATGGAGTCCATTATCTTAGAATTGACAATGGTCTCATTCATACTTTACACACAGAGCCTTTAGCAAATCTTGTTGTTCTATTGTTTCAATCATTATTTTAGTCTATTACATCTGTCATGACAAGTTACTGACATGACTCAATATTTAGGTCTGATAAAATTTTAGAGCCATATTTTAAATGGAATATACTGAAGGCATAAATTTTCTGTGCACTTACAATAAAAACATAAAATTCAGATTCATTTTTTAGGTCAGGATGATTTCAAGTGAAAGTAACATAGTTTTACATTGTTTGAAACTTTTTGTTGTAACAACATAGTACCCAATTTGTCATCTCTAAAATAGCATTTAGTTTAAATACTTTAAAAATTCTTAGAATTTTGGATAGAAAGGAAAATCTCATATTATTCTGTATTTTCCCTATGGTATATGAAATAAACTTTAGAGTCTTCATCTTAGAGTTTATGCTGTTTATTTTGAAAGCTCACTTTTGGAATTGTAAGAATCCTTTTTTATGCTGCTAACGATAATTGAGGCAAATTAAAGTCTTTTGGCAGTATGATCTAATATCTACTAATAATTTTACAAAGTCTATTTGAATAGTCAAAAATCAAACATTTTTACTAATTATTCTTAGCCATACTTGCCCTGAGGACAGCTTGTGTAGATGCTTTTTCAAACATGAGAGTGGAAAGGACAGTTTCCTGTGCACGGTGGAGGAGTAGCAGTGGGAAAAAGAAAATACCAATTTCCAAGTGTTATCAAGATTTATCTTGTTAAAAAAATACTCAACTGGTAATTTCCACTACGTATTCAACCTGTGTGACCACTAATCTCTCTCCATTGTCTGGTGTCAAGTACAGGCAAGACAGGATGAGGATGAGCCTTGATTTGCTCTCTCTTTCATCATAGCTGGTTGCTCACAGGGCACTTGGACCATCCAAGTTCTCCTGGTGCTCAGGCCGAGCCTAGGCTGCGCAGCTGATGGGCCTTAACATGAGGGACCTGAGGAGCAGCTGAGCCTCTCAGGGGCCAAAGTCCTCAGCAGCAAACTCTCCCTGATTCTCCACTAGCCTCCACTTATGCACACAAATACAGCTGAAGTGAAATTTGTCTGTCGTACATAGAAAGAAGCAGAATCCGGCTTTGAGAGTTTGGATGTTGGGCCAAGATACATTGCACAGGATGTGCCACTCTGAGAAAGCAAAAGGACCCTGCAAATGTGTAATGACATGTGTGTCTAGGGTTAACCTCTGAGAGGTGAATCCCATCCTGCTTGGACCCCTCACATCTAATCTAGAGCAGGAAAGAGCCCCATCCACCCAAGTATCCATGGGCAGCGGACCTCCAAATTATAGTGTGATCTTCAGTTAATTCTAGAGTTGTCTGTCTTTTGCAGTCACCTGGGTAACTATTCAAGGATGCTAAATGCAAGTGTTAGAAAATGTCTTCCCCTGGGACCCAGTGATTTAACTCCATAAAAGTGCTCTGTCAAGGGACTTGGCATGGGAAACGTTTTGTGTCTCTGATATTAGATAGCTAACAACACAGCTTAAGTAATAGAAAAGAGGAAGAGAATTTTATTCCTCTGGGCACAGCTGCTGCTCCTGCCACAGGGAGAGGCTCAGCCTCCTGGGAGGTTTGTGACTGGGGCCGTCACTGTGCAGGGCCTGTCAGTGTCCTTCTCACAGGAGTGTGTGTAGTGTCACAAAGATCAACATGGGTTACTAGACTAAAATCACTAGAATTATGTTGAGACATGTCTCTCTCTTGTGAATATATTTCATAGACTTTTTATTCTTTGTTTTACAAATCCTTTTCTACAGACCACTTTTTCTTTGTGTTTTGGACTATTTTGATAAGAATACAATTATAATTACACTATCCCTGGTCTCCACTTTAGTGATTGTGGGAGTGAAATCAGCAGATTTTGACTGGATGTGTCCCGACTTGTGAATATACATGTAGAAAAATACTCTGAAGATTGTCATTCTCTGTATGTGTTAAAAACTCCTTCCTATATAACATGTTTCCCTTCTTTTTGTTTTTGTATTTCAACTGAAGAATACAAGTTTAATTGCACTTATAGTGGAATCCATTTTCTTAAAATGGACAATCATTTCTGATGAGCAGGTGATTTGACCATATTTGGCCTCTACTATATGCACATTATGCTGGCTTAGCAGCAGTCTGCCCGTAGTCTGAAATTTCTTACCTGTTGAGTAAGAAAACTCACAGTATTCTGTGTCATTTCAGTGTTATATGAGGTAAGTTCTAGAAAATATGTCTTCTAGTGTTTCTTTTCTTGTTTTTGTTTTTGAGACAGAGTCTCGCTGTGTTGCCCGGGTTAGAGTGCCATGGCATCAGCCTAGCTCACAGCAACCTCAAACTCTTGGGCTCAAGCAATCCTTCTTCTAGGGTTTTTGTTTGTTTCTTTTTAAAACCCAACTTTTCAAATGTCAAGAACTCTCTTTGTCTATTAGCAAGAGAAAATTGAAGCAAATAAAAGAGTTTTAGCATTAGAATCTTCAATCTTCTGCCATGAATTTACAATAGTCTATTTGGAGGCTTATAAACCAAGATTTTTACTACTTGTCCTCAGCCAGCGGCTCCTGTGGGCAGCTTGTGTAGAATGCTGTCCCCACCATCTTTGTGGCGTTATGAAGTGAAAGGAGAAGAAGGAATTTGGGAAAGTGGGAAAGTACCAATTGCTGAATATTACCAAATATTATCCTCTTAAAAACATGCATAAAACTGCTATACTTTGAGATGTATTCAACACATAGTGCTGCAAATCTGCATTAATTTCCGGGCTTTTTTTGCTGACTGAATCTTATAGACAAATGTAGACAAAGCAGAAGGATGAGGGTGAGATTTCACTTGGCTCTCACTTCGGTCATGTCTAGTTACTCAGAAGGCGTTGGGATCCTATTTATTTTTCTGCTACTTACGCCATGTCAGGGCTGTTGCAGCTAACAGGGCTATTAATGGATTTGCCTGACTAATAGACAAGACACTCATGTAATGAACACCTCAGATGCAACCTGTTGCCCTGAGTTCTCCAACTATATCCTCTTATACAGCCAGAAATATTGCTGAGCTGTCACCAGACAAGCAACACATTTGGGCAGCTGGGCCACCCCAAGCATGGAGGTTTGTGTTCGGGGCTGTATCACTGTGCAAGGAAAATATGAAGCTTGCATGCAGTAATACACTCCCACATCCTCAGCCTCCACCCTGCTGATTTTCAGTGTGAAATCTGTCCCTGACCCACTGCCACTGAACCTGTCTGAGACCCCAGAGTCCCGGTTGGAAACCTTATGAATCAGGCGCCTTGGAGGTTGGCCTTGCTTCTGCAGGAACCAATTCAAATAGGTGTTTCCATCACTGTCTTGGAGGCTCTGACTAGCCCTGCAGGTGATGGAGACCGACTCTCCAGGGGTGACAGGCAGGGACAGGGGAGTCTGGGTCATCACAACATCACCACTGGATCCTGAAAAAACAAGAGAGAAGTGCAAGCTTATATACACACATTAGAAGCATTTTCATAAGTTGCTTTTGATAATTATTTTAGTCTAAATTTTTTGTGTGCTCCATGTTTAGATTCATATTCCCCTAGTATACAGTTTTATAAAAGAATGGATATTTTCAAAGCCCAAGGGAGCCAATAGAATTCATTTCTACCGTTCCCCTCTTTTTGTCTGAAAGTCTTCACGAGATCACAGGCCCTGCTCTTTCTAGAATCTTCCTCAATCTCTCAGATGTAAATGTGCCATGTCCCATCCTGGAGGACAAGACGTGCACATCTAACACATGCACAGAGCAACGTGGCAGGCAGTGGGGCTCCACTGCTCACTCTCCCACCCCATCCTCCTTCCTCATCTCCTTCTGTCCTTACCAGGGACCCAGAGCACCAGCAGCCCCAGAAACTGAGCAGAGAGCCTCATTTTGAGAAGTTGGACTGAGGAGTCCTGGTCAGCCCAGGCAAGATAAGATTTGAGCTTTTATCTCAGACTTCTAGGGGCAGGTCCTCCCCAGGGGACAGTATGCAAATGCCCTGGTGGGTGCAGCAGTGTGGAAAGAGCCTACAGGAGCGTGGGGGCGTCTCTTGTGAGCAAAGTAACAGAAAACGTTCTCTGTGGTTGGAGGGAAACTAACAGAGGAAAAAATCTATCTAGCTCCAGTAGGAGAAAGGACATATTATAATTTTTCCTTCTTTTTTCTCCACGTTTTATAATAGTTCTTCAGCATTTTCCCAGACACATTATACTTTTCTTTTATGAGGCTGATTTTGCATAAATATTTGATGAATTGTTTTTTAACCACCTTGTATAATAGAGACTAGGTTTGATCTTTTCTATTTTTTAATTGGGATAAAACACATAAAGGGTAGAAATATTAAATGTACAATTAATTTTTTCTGCATATTTAGTATCCAAATGAAGCTATAGAACATTTTCCAATCCCCAGATAGTTCCAACATGCACTTTCCCTGTCAGTCACTGCTCCCCTGTCCCCACCAAGGTGACCGTCCTTCTGACATCTGTCCCAAATGTGCCTCTTCCTGAAGTTTAATGTCATGTAAGTTAAAGTAAACATTTTGCTGTTGTTTCTAGTTTCTTTCTTGTTTCTTGCCTGGTTTTGAGGCCCTTATTCTTTCCTGTTCATTCAGGTTATTTTCATTTCCTGTAATTTTGAAGAATTTCCTCTTAAATTTCTTGCAGAGAGTGTATGAAAGTAATCATTTCTCCTGATTTGTGTTCATCAAGAGTATGTTTTTACTTTGTCTTTATTTCTGAAGGTTGGGAAAGGAAGAGAGCTTACCTGGTTTAGGGAAACTGCAGATTTGTAGAGAGTGGTTTTATAGGTTCAGGAGTGAGAACAGAAGTTTTCAAAACTGTCGAGGAGAAGAGTGCCTGAGTCTGTGCTGGGGGGTGTGCTGTGTGCATCTGAGTGGAGAGGAGATTAGAGGACCATAAAACGGAGAGTTATTTGCCTGCACAGACAGCAACATCTGTCTCTGGGAAATGAGATCAGTAGCTGAGGAGTCAGAGCCGGGTCCTGCTCCTCTGTGTCACTGTGGTCATCTGTGCACACACACTCCTGGGGACAATTGAGTGTTCCTCTTTGTGGCAGCTTCAGGACCCTTGGGAAAGGTTGCTAAGCACCAAATGAAGGCTTACTTGCAAAGTAAAGTTCTGATCCACTCTTTATTCTAACATGATCCAATCATGTAGCAAGGTGTAGAAAGACAGAAATGAGTCCAGAGGCTTCTATTTTGTTCCTAGCAGGAGTGTGCCACACAACATCTCACTGAATCTAGGTGATTTGTAAGTCAGGAAAACACAGATTATATTCTGTGACCTACACAGAAATTCTATAATCAGGCTGAGCTAACAGCTTTTACTGACCCTATCATCTGGGCTAAAGAAGACCAATATAATATTTATACATACTGCCACATAGATAGATGTATTAAATTACAACTGATGGCATAAATATGACCATTTAGTAGTCCATTTAGAAATATATTAAGAAGAAATTAAAACAACATACTATTTGAATAAAAAGAGTGAAATATGCCTCATTTATTGAAAATATACATATACGAGATAAATCTCTTAAAATTCCATGGCTAGTAACACTGAGCAATTATCTTCATGTCCGTGGGTGTTCATGTTAACAATCGTCTGGCTGATCAAGGTGGTCAGCAGGGTGGTTCTACTGCAGGACACTGAGCTTGTCTCCAGTCTTTGGATTGTGTTTGATGCGGAGGCAAGATAGTGCCCACTCAAGGCAGAGCATCTGTAGGGCAAAGTAGTAGGACTAAACAACATCGCGAAAGCAGGCTAAGCAGGCAAATGTAAGTCCAATCATCCCTAAACAGAGGTGCATACAATTTTAATCTATTCTTTTACTTTACTAATTTATGGTCTCTAAAATATTTACTGCATTTAATTTTCAAGGTAATTGTGCATAGAAAAATAATTAGGTTTTTCATAATTTTTATTTATACAATTTAAAATACTTTTCAAATGTAATTTTCCATTAAATAGAAATGAAGCTAGGTGTATTCTCAACATGAGGCTTTCTCCATTGGGAAAAGGAATATCTTTAGCCAAAGGTAAGCGTCCTTGAACACATAGCTTCTTAAAACTCCTGTAGATTATCTGTGAAGTTGTTAAAATGAAGATCAGCATCCAGTGTGTCTAAGATGCATTTGCTACTTTGTGTGTAACATGCTCACAGTGATGTTGATGATGCAGCTGGCATCGGGACAAATGTTGAGCAGCAAAGTTTTCATATCAAGGAAAAATTATACTATATGTAACTTCAGGTTTTCTTGTTTGTTTAGTCAAGAAAGGTTTTTCATTTGTTTGTTAAATGGTTGCTATAGATTCTAGGCTATTTTGTCATCTTTCAGTTTACTCTGTGACTTAAGAAAAATTGCTTTCAATGATCCCATACTTGCTACTAATGTGTGGAAGCATATTCAAGCATATTCTGAGGCCATCACATACCTGAAAAGTTCTGAGATTTGGGCAAATATTGACTTTATGTGGCTGTCAGAATTCAATCCCAACACCACCACCATTTCTGGCAGCAGGTTTTCCCAAACTGGTTTCCTCTCTGTGGTTTCTTGTAGAGTTACTCAATGAGGTGCCCTCCTATCATATTTCAAAGTCAGAAGAGGAAGATTCAATACTCATTGACACCTGCGGGCAGACACCTGGACAAACTGAGCAGTGGAGGATCCCTGGTGACGAGATGCACCAGCTGAGAACATCAGCACCCCCACCTTTGAGCCTCCAAGACCGGTCTGAGGACCACATGGCCAGGCAGCTCCTAACATCGATGGCAGAGAGACTCTGGCTACTGTCAGACCACCAGAGAGTCCCCTGTTTCTAGTATCAGCTTCCCTGACTACCCTACACCCAGGGTTGTACTTCCAATTCTAATTTCCTTTATTAAAACAATTCTTGCTTGAAATTTGTAGAGTGCCTTGTATTTTGCTGTATAAACCTGGACTGATCCCATAAAAGAGATTCCTCAGGTTCCATAATTGTTGTCCTTTATTAACTCAGGAAAAGCTGTGTCATGTCTGCACTGCTGAGGCTGAGGAGGAGGAGTTAGAAGGCAGAGGAGCCTCCCTGGTCCTGTCTACCAAAACCTTCACAGCTTGGCTGTCTCTAAGAAAAGCTCTGGGCAGATGGAGGCACCGGGAGGTGCAGCTCCAGGAGGAGCAGCTGGGGCAGCCCCGCCTTCCACATCTGCTTCCCTGGGGGGTTTTTGTTCAGCCTTGTAACACTGTGTGAGGGAAACTATTATATTGTTGACAGTAATATGTTGCAGCATCATCAGTCTCCAGGCCTCTAATGGTGAGAGAATAATCTGTCCCAGACCCACTGCCACTGAACCTCGATAAGACCCCGGGGTACAAGTTGGATGCTCCATAGATCAAGGACTTAGGAGGCTTCCCTGGTTTGTGCTGGTACCAGACTAAATTATTATTAATGCCCTGACTGGCCCGGCAAGAGATGGTGACTGTTTCTCCTGGAGATGCAGACACGGAGGATGGAGACTGGGTCATCTGGATGTCACATCTGGTACCTGAGATTGGAAACATAAAAAGAAACATGCATATAATTAATCATATTATAACACTACTTCCCTGAGGCAGTACTGAGCACACTGGCTGAGAACATTCCTGGTGTTGTCCCTCCTTACCTGGGAGGCAGAGCAGCAGGAGCCCCAGGAGCTGAGTGGGGACCTTCATGTCCATGCTGTGCCCTGATAGGGACTGACTCCTGAACAGGGTGTGACCAGCCTGTTGATAAGTCTGCAGGGCAGGGGCTGTGCTGTGGGAATATGCAAATCAGCAGGGGACGGGCAAGCTGGGCACAGCTGCAGGGCTGGCTCATCTCAGTGACTCAGGACAGGCCCAGGGTCCCCAGTGTCCTAGGTCAGACCAGGGCATCACAGATTCACCTGCAGACAATGTCTTTCTCCCTGGAGGACATTTTGTTAAAAAGGAAATTTGGGGGAACCTATAGTTAAAACTTGAATTGGATGTGGAGACTACATGAAGTGATATATTTCAAAGTTGTATGGGGCGTATGTAGCAGAATATCCTTATCTATAAGGAGTATAAAGTCTTAGAGGGTGGGACTTTCAGGTATTCAACATACTGTCAAATGTTTCCAGATGTGACTCTTGGGACAAGACCACTGCATCTCCTGCTGACCTTCCCAGGCCCCTCTCAGCCTTCTGGTCATCAGCCCCTTCATCTACCTACATGGTCTCTTCTGAGTGACCATCCTCCCCAGTGGGAGAACAAATGAGACCACTCATCCCCAGGTGTATATTGAGGGCAGATTCCATTTTGGAAGGTCACCTATGTCCTCCTGGGTTCACTAGGAATGTTTGATATGACCAAAGGTGCAAGTAGGCAGGAACCTCACAAACTCTTTCCTCACTAAATCCTCAGAGCCCTGTGTCATGTGCCACTCTCCGTGAGCTTGCAGTGGCACCTTAAGTGCCAGGCAGATGTCCCTTCAACTCTGTGATTCTTCCTGAGACAGACATCAGAGCTTCCATCTGGGTTCATATCTCACCCCCGACCCCACCAGCATTAACACCCCAACATATGAGCCACAGAGCTGTGCACTGTGCCTACAGCTGATCCCCACCACTCGCTTCCTCTTCTGATTTACTTCCTCTGCCCAACGGCTTAATATTCTTCTTCTTCTTCAAGTAAGTATTGACTTACATAGTATCTTGTATTTATAAAAATTCTGTTCAATGTGGCGTACTACACTCACTAATTAATTCAGACTTTGTTCTTGTTTGCATATTTTAAAATGTGGTATTGGAATTCAGAAAACACCATTCTTTACTCAACCCATTTTGACTGAGAGTGTTCAAAGACTTCTGGAACTGGACTTTCATTCTTAAATAGATTTTCCAAAGTCTATCTATTAGTGAAGAAACCAAGACTGTGAAATGTTATTCTTGGGTACTCCCCTGAGAACAGTAGCATAAATCCCTGGCCTGCTCTGGTCCTGGAGAGACACGTGTGCTGAGAATAAGGGTACAAGTGGGGAAGGGGTAAAGACAGATGTCATCATCACCAAATAGTATCTGGCTGCATATAGACTAGTGACTGTTAAGCCCAGGCAATACCCAAAAATGTGCCACTGTTGTGTTTTCATGAATCAGCTTTGATTGGTTGACTGTTTTGCTAAATGAATGTAATTGACAAATGCATGCAAAGGAGAGAGGATTAAGATCAGCTTCAGGTGAGAGGATGCAGTCAGCTCTCCCTTCCTCCTGTCTGGTTGCTCAGAGGGCACTTGGACCCCTCTAATCTGCTGCACGTTCTGCTATGCTAAGGCTGCCACAGTCGATGTGGTCCCATGTATGGTGCCTGAGCCGTAGCCAGAAACTCATGGTCCAGCTGCAACTTGTTCCCCTGAGGTCTCCAACATCTTCCTCTTACACAGATTCAGAGAATACATTCTGTCTGCTCCCCAGTGAAGGAACAAATATGAGCAGCTGGGACAATCCAAGAAGGGAGGATTTTGTTTAGGGCTGCACCACTGTGAGAAGAAACTTTGTAGTTCCCATGAGGTCATAAACTCCTAAATCCTCAAGCTCCATCCACCTGCTGATTTTGAGTGTGAATCTGTCCCTGACCTGCTGCCACAGAACCTGTCGGAGGCCCCAGAATCCCAGGTGGTAAAGTTATAAATCATGCACCTTGGCGGTTCCCCCGGCTTCTGCAGGTACCAATGCCAATTGGTGTTTCCGTCGCTATTCAGGAGGCTCTGACCAGCGCTGCAGGAGATGGAGGCGGCTCTCCAGGGGTGACCAGCAGGGACAGTGGGGTCTGGGTCATCACAGCATCCCCACTGAAATAATGAGAGAGAAGTGCAAGGTTTTGCATAAACTTTATGAGACATACTCTCTATTTCACTATAATTTTTTTCATGCTAAATCAATTTTTGGTAATTTTGATTCAAACTCCAAAAACAAATATCCAGTTTACAAATTGAACATATTTACAAGGCCCAAAGGAACCTCTAGTAGTCACCTTCACTATCCTTCATCACCTCTTTCTGTGTCAGAGTGTTCAGCAGAGCACAAGTTATTCTTATTCTGGAATCTTCCTCACTCTGTCAGATCTAAATCTCACAGGCCCCATCCTGGAGGACAGGACACGCGCATCTAACAACACGCAGGGAATACACATGGGAGGCAAAGGGCCCTCTTCCTTCTCCAGGCCCTGTCTGGATAGGCCAGGGCTGCCAGTCTGGACTTCATGTCTCCTCTGCAGCGTCTCCTTGCTAGAGTCTGCCAACAGAGGGCAGTAGAGGGAGAGGGGGACAAGAGCAGGAGAAGCCTCTTTGCTCCCTGCTGGTGTCTGTAATCACTCCCCTCCCAGGAAAGCTCTTCACCTTGGTGGCTGCACTTGGTTTCAGAGGCAGAGGTTTGGGTTTCCAGGTGTGGGTGCACTGTCTCCTCAGAGATACCAGCATCCACTTGGGGAGGCCGAGGGCTTTTCCTCAGGGTTCAGAATCCTGTGTCCATGGGGGCCCACCTCAAAGCTGCTGAAGTTGGACATGGTCCAGCTGACTGCACCCGGACTCACTCATATTTAAACACATTCTTGCAACTTTTACAGGTGATTTCTCCAGAGAAAAGCGGCCCAGGTGAGCTTCTCTGTCCCCTGAAGCCTGCAGGCCTTGGGAGCCCTGTCCTGAGGGCCCCTGCGGACTGCTAAGCCCTGCTGCCTGAGAACACTGCCTCCCCCACCCCTGTGCTGCCTGCCCTCACCCCACCCCTCACCAGGACCCAGGCCTGCTGCCCACAGGCCATCTGGTCAACCTGTTTCCTGAGACAGGTCTCAGCGATTTACCCTGACTATAGACAATTCTGCTGCCCCTCAACATTTGTGCCCTGGGGCCTCATTTGCCTTACCCTAATTCCAGTCCTGACAGAAAGAATAGAGGACATAAGATGGCTTAGGATTCTGTATGTGGGAGGGAATAATGTCCTTAGAGTATGAAGGCAAAATAAATATGTTTTTAGAGAAGCAAAAGTTAAGAGAATTCATTGTCTTTCTGCCTGCACTGCCAGAGCAATCAGTGATCTTCAGGTGGAGAGGAATGATTCCAGAAAGAAACTCAGATATTCACATAACCATTAATAGGCTAAACATACCAGTTAAAGAAATCTTATTAAATCTAGATTGAAAAAAACCCATATATATTTTCTTAAAGACATAAGAACAGATAGTTTGAGAGTGGATAAAAGAGAACCAAAAGAAACCTGTTCACATCATTGCAATTGCGAATTGTGCTGCTATAAACATTTGACTACAGGTGGCACAAATTTAATTTTATACTGATAAACTCATTTCTTAGAATCATGTAAATGAATTTTCAGATTCAAAAGACATCTGCACTAGAATGTTTATAACAGCACAATTCACAATTGCAAACAATTGTGAATTGTGAATTGTTTGTGGAAACAACCCAAGTGCTCATTAATACATGAAGGGATTAATAAAATCTGGTATAGGTTACCATGGAGTTCTACTGAGCCACAAAAACAATTCTGCTCTAGCACCTCTTGTACTATCCTGGAGAGAGCTGGAGCCCATTCCACTAAGCGAAGTATTACAAGAATGGAGAAACAAGCACCACATGTACTCTCCATCAAATTGGTATTAATTGACTTAGCTGAACAACACTTAAGTGCACATGTAGTAGTAACATTGATCGGGTGTTGAACAGTGGGGGAGTTGAATAGTGAGGGGGGAGGATGTGGGTATATTCACACCTAATGGGTGCGGTGTGCACCATCAGGGGGATGGCCACACTTGAAGCTCTGACTCGGGTGGTGCAAACGCAATATATGTAACATAAATATTTGTACCCCTGTAATGTGCTGAAATAAAAATATTAAATACAATAAAAATGAAAAATACCAAAAGGTGGCTTTATCAGCAGGTCCCTCAATGGAAATTTTCAGATATGTGATTTAGGCAGAAGGACATTTGTTACTGATAGAAAGCTCAACATTTCTTAGATTTTAACAAGAAAACAGGTTTCTTGTCCTTTTTTCTACTTCATGCTGGCTGAGGAATGGGCATCAGGAAGCAGTGACAGTGGAAAGGGGAGGTAAAGCTGTATGCTGAGGGTGGCAGTGCCCCTGCCCACCTGAGTGACATCATCCCACCCCAAAGCCACCTCCCTACATCTGGACTGTTAAGCCAGAGACAGAGAAATCTGATCACATTTAGCCCATTGTGTTTCAAGGTTTCTTTGTAGCAGCCAATTCTGCTTTCCTCTGATTCATCTTGTATGCCCTGTCAGCTTTGGGAGACCATTTGTTTTTCACCACTTTGTATTGAGATTATATCCCTATAGAATATCAACATCATGAAGGATTATTTTATACATCCAACCACTTGAAAGGGGTTTAGGCCTTATTCCCTGACTCATATCAAAGCAGAAACTCAAGGTCACTAGGTGTTGGCAATCACATGAGGGCTAAAGCCAATTACAGCATTGCTTAAATCTTACTCTTCCTAGATACACTGTTTTCTCCGTTTGCATTCCAAGATACATTTTAAGTTCAATGATGCATTTGTTGGACCTTTAAATAACACATTAAGTGTCTTACACCCCATAATTTGAGGGCTCCAGTTGGCTTGATTTATATCTGAATTTAGCCCTACAACATTAATATATAAATGAAAGACACTTTGGAATTTCAATTGCACTTGCCATTGTGTTCCTTATCTTGGAGTAGACAATAGTCTCATTCATAATTTACACACTGAGCCTTCAGAAAATCTTGTTGCTCTGTTGTTTCAATCATTATTTTAGTCTATCTCATCTTGTCATGACAAGTGACTGACATGACTCAATATTAGGACTGATAAACTTTTAGAGCAATATTTTAAATGGAATCTAATGAAGGTATAAATTTTCTGTGCACTTACAGGAAAACCACAGAATTAAGATTTTTTAGGTCAGCATGATTTCAAATGAAAGTAATACTTTTATGTTGTTTGAAACTTTTGTTATAACAACATAGTACCAAATTTGTCATCTCTAAAATAGTATTTAGTTTAAATACTTTTAAAATTCTTAGAATTTTGGAGAGAAAGACATCTCATATAATTCTGTATTTTCCCTATGGTCTATGAGGTAAACTTTAGAGTCTGCATCTTTGAGTTTATGCTGTTTATTTTGAAAGCTCACTTTTGGAATTGCAAGAATCCCTTTTTATGCTGCCTACGGTAATTGAGGCAAATAAAAGTCTTTTGGCACTATGATCTTATATCTACGAATAATTTACTAAGTCTATTTGAATAGTCTAAAATCAAACTTGTTCACTAATTATTCTTAGCCATACTTGCCCTGAGGACACCTTGTGTAGATGGTTTCTCAAACACGATAGTGGAAAGGACAGTTTCCTGTGCATGGTGGAGGAGTAGCAGTGGGAAAATGAGAAAATACCAATTTCCCAAAGTTATCAAGAATTATCTTGTGAACATAAAAACCTCAACTGGTAATTTCCACTATGTATTCAACCTGTGTGGCCACTAATCTGCATCCATTGTCTGGTTGTCAAATACAGGCAAGACAGGCTGAGGATGAGCTTTGATTTGCTCTCTCTTTCATCATAGCTGGTTGCTCACAGGGCACTTGGACCATCCGAGTTCTCCTGCTGCTCAGGCCGTGCCTAGGCTGCGCAGCTGATGGGCCTTAACATGAGGGGCCTGAGGAGCAGCTGAGGCTCTCAGGGGCCAGAGTCCTCAGCTGCAAACTCTCCCTGATTCTCCACCAGCCTCCACTTATGCAGACTCAGAGGACCTGCTGAGATGCTCCCCAGAGAAGCAGCCCTTGTGGGCAGCTGGGCCTCAACAGCAGGGAGGTTTGTGTTCGGGGCTGCACCACTGTGGGAGGAGTTTGTAGATCTTGCATGCAGTAATAAACGCCGACATCCTCAGCCTCCACTCTGCTGATTTTCAATGTAAAATCTGTCCCTGACCCGCTGCCACTAAACCTGTCTGAGACCCCAGAGAACCAGTTGGAAACCAAATAGATGAGAGGCTGTGGAGACTGGCCTGGCTTCTGCAGGAACCAATACAAATAGGTGTTTCCATTGCTATGCAGGAGGCTCTGGCTAGACCTGCAGGAGATGGAGGCCAGCTCTCCAGGGGTGACCGGCAGGGACAGTGGACTCTGGGTCATCACAATCTCCCCACTGGATCCTGGAAGAATGAGAGAGAAGTAGTACAATGTTATCCATATCATTATGAGCAATTTTCAGGATTTTTCTCATGTTATTTATTTAAAGTTATTCTTTTTTACAAACTGTGATTCATATGATACAAATAAATTTTCTAAAATGAGCCCATTACTTATTAGGCACAAGGAACTTTGTTTTATAAAATGTTAATCATGGCCCTCATCATTGTAGTTTATAGAGGGTTCCTTATTAGTCAAAGGTCAAAATATAAATTTCCTTCCCAGGAACAAAGACCATATGTCCCTAACACATGGTTACAATAAAGGTGAGAAGCTGTGTCCCCTCACCCCTGAGCTCACCCACTCCCCGTCCTCCTTCCTCATCTCCTTCTGTCCTTACCAGGGACCCAGAGCACCAGCAGCCCCAGGAGCTGAGCAGGGAGCCTCATTTTGAGAAGTTGGACTGAGGAGTCCTGGTCAGTCCAGGCCAGATTGGGGCTGAGCTTTATCTCAGACTCACAAGGGAAGGTCCTCCCTAGGGGACAGTATGCAAATGCCCTGGTGGGTGCAGTGGAGTGGAAACAGCCAATGGTGACTAGGAACCCCTCTTGTGAGCAAAGTGATAAAAAATTGTCTCATGCAGGAGGACAAATACAGCCGAAGTGAAATTTGTCTGTGGTAGGAAGAAGTGGGATCCAGTTATGAGCGTTTGAATGTTGGGCCAGGATACATTGAACAGTATGTGCCACTCTGAGAAAGCACAAGGACCCTGCTAATGTGTAATACACATATGTGTCTAGGGTTAACCTCTGAGAGGTGAATCCTATCCTGCTTGGACCCCTCACATCTAATCTAGATCAGGAAAGAGCCCCATCCAAACAAGTATGAATGGGCAGAGGACCTCGAAATAATAGGGCGGTTTTGAGTTAGTTCAAGAGTTGTCTGTTATCTGCTGTCATTTGGGTAACTATTCGAGGATGCTAAATGCAAGTGTTAGAAAATGTTTTCTCCAGGGATCTGGTGAAAACTCCATAGAAGTGTCTTGTCAAGGGCCTTGGCACAGAGAATATTGTGTGTCTCTGATATTGGATAGCTAACAAGCTATCTTAAGTAATAGAAAAGTGGAAGAGAATTGTATCCCGCAGACAGTGAATAGAAAATTCCTGGTGATCAATATCTCATGGATGTCTCACCATAATTACCTCACATATAGCACATTAGCCAGAGGGATTTCTTAAGGGAAGAGTTTCCTAGGTTAACGGCACAGAATTAGAAAGAAATACCTACATCGTTTTCCTGAGTGTTGTTTATAAAAATGCTTTCCACACAGTCTTTCTTGTTCTGTGGAATCCAGTCCTGTGAGGGGTTCTTGTCCACTCCGAGTGAGGACCCGAGTCTCTGCCTTGTACTGTTTGTGGGGCAGCCACAGCCGTGAGCTCACAGTTCAAAAGGAAATTCTGTATGTGAGGAAAGGAAGAAGTCGATCCACAGTTTTACATCTCAGGGTCATCTGCACCTATGGTTGGCTTTCATTTGAAGATAGTCACAGCTAGGGGATGTCAGTCTATCACACAATGATCATTAAAACAGGGGAACAACTTGGCTGTTCTTCCCTTGTCAGTAGTGCACTTAGTATTGAATTGAATAGTTCATGGCAAATGGCGCCTGCACCACCTCGCTTCACAATGAGAGTCATTGTCCTGGAAAATAAAAACAAAACAAAAAAACCGTGGAACAATTAAAAGAATACTTTCTCCTGCCATGTATTCTTGGGTAGTTTAGCCCAAAGTTACACCTAATTGATGAAGAACACAAGAAAGCAAACAAATACAGTTCTAAGTGTGATTCCACAAGAAATCTTGGTCTAAAAATCTTCTGGGAAATTAAACAAAATAAAACTTTTTAACAAGTTTGAAAGAGTTAATTTTAAAGACTAAGATTCATATTGACCTTTAAAGGTTGTAGTCCATGGCAATAATATCAGTTGGCAATTACAAATAATGATAAGAGGGTAGAATTTGCTAAAAGTTTCATATTTAGCTATTTAAAATTTGTATGCTTTTATTTCATTAAATGTTGTCAGTTTTGTGTATTTGCTTTTATTCATAAGTATGCTGGCCAATTCAATTCTGGTTCTTTGTATGGACTAAGAACCTAATTAACCATAAGTGAAGAGAGTCAAAATCATCAGATGGTGAAAAGAAAAAGAAACACAAAAATAACCAAATATGCTAATTAAGAAAACACGGTGGTATGTATTATCATTGGATTGGTTTTAAAGAATTATTTTGAGAGGATGTCAAAGAATCAGTTCTACCTACTAATCAATATGAAAACTTGAACTGTGAGAAAATAAAAAACAGTAAGCAATCTCTCCCATTTTCTTTTATTACAAGTCTTCGAGAAACCTTCTTTTCAAAATATTCATTAAGACGCTTGAATTTCAGAGAGTATTGCTGTTTGGGGTGAAAATTAGTTAAACTATTAAAAGTCTGCCGTCATGATTGGTTGTTTTACCTTATAATGTATTGCTTTTATGCATTTAGAAAGTGTAAAATCTTATAAAAATTCCTCTTTGTTCATGAAAGGCTTTAAAACTATCTACTGATATTTATAGACTCAGAGAAAGAGAATAATATTCCTAAATTTAAGCAGGAATCTCTCTCTCCTATATGTCAGTACATTCCACCCAGGCTTCAACAACAGCAGACGAAGCTGGTCACTGCATATGGCTCACTGACTATAAGAGTTAAGGGCATAAAATAATCTTCATTTGTGTCCACCTGAGCAGCAGACTGCTATGTTTCTCTAGTGTGGACAAAGGTCACCAGACTCCTATAGGTAGATTATGTTGCCAAGGACTTAAGGTAGTTGTAGTCATGTCTTCTTTGCCTGTTGCTGTCAATTTCAGATCCGTAAAATTGGAAGCAAGTATATTATTGATAGAAATAGGGAAGAGAGTCTTGGAAGTAGAATTGTTCCTGTCCATTGTGTGGAGTCAGGTTTTTGGATTGCAGAGTCAGATCCTGAATGTGAGGAGTTTGAGGGATCTGGGGGATGGTCAGGGGGAAAGAAAGGACCACAGGGTGGCAGTAGCACAACAAGTGTGACTGTGTGAAGTGTGACAGATCTGCAGGGAGAAGTCCCTCTCAGAGGGGACAGTCCAGAGGCTGAGTTGCCAGGGCTGCTTCTCAGAAGGGGAGGGGACACTGGAGAAGGGACCCTGTGTCACTGAGCATGTCTGCCTGAAACCATAATGTAGACACATCAGTTCCTATGATGTCCTTTCTCACTTTGTTTGGAATAAAATATGTGTGGCACTGAAACAAAAGTGCTTGAAAACTGATGTAACTGTTTGTGACCAAATATGATAAAAGTTATGAATGAAAATGTCATTAACTTTGATGGAAGTCTGCATTCCCAATGCTTACATGGGAAACGAAATGTTATTGTTGAAAAAATGAATAACTTCACAGAAAATATAAGCAAATGACATGACTCGCTCTTGGCACTAAAATTGTTTACAGTGGGACACTGGTCCTGCAGTCAAGAGTGATGAGAGTAAAAGGAAATTATGTTCCAACCACAGTTTGGATTTTGTAGGCGGTTGAAAGGGGAGATAGACAATGCCTCTGATGCACAGTAAAGACATTCATTCTGAGGGTGGGGTGTGATCTTTCTCATTTCATATGTCAGTTCAGTTAATGAGTAAAATATCTGTTTAATCTTTTCTCCTTACTTGAGCTTCCATAGCTACTTTCCCTTACTCATTAGTGCCTTGGTACACTCAACTTTTGATGAAACGACTGTTATTGAGGGATTAAGGATTCTGGATTTCAACTTCCTTAGGCCTAGAGCGCTGTTCTGTTCCCAAGACAGGCAGCAAAAGATTCTGATTCCTCCTCTCACTCTGGCTAAATATTCTTCTGAGATAGTCTCTTATTCTCAAGATTTAATTAGATGTGTACAGTCTGGTTGCCAATGAACCACTTTTTCTGAATTAAAACTTGAATATCCAACACCTCCTGAATTTTGAGATAAATAATCCCACCACAAGAGTGAAATGTAATGTTAATCTGAAGTGTCATATTTCCTGGCAGCAAAGGGGTCCTTTGGAAATGGGCTCAGTTTTTCATTCCTTCACGCACACAACAAAATCTGAATCTCAATGGGCACTACTCTTACTTCATTTCTAAGCCATTCCCTGTGGTTACATACTTATGCCCCTATAATCCTCTTTAGTTACAATCAAGCAACTATAGTTCCAAGGAATAAATCCAAAATGTTTACTTATCAAATAGTAAAACTTGTGAAGGACAGTTTA